TTGCAAGAATATACCTCAGTTCAATCTTTCTACGTTTGCTTTTGAAAGATGCTGTCTATCTGGTAGGAATCTATTTGCTCATCAGTTACATTTGCAGATTATCCAGGTCCTAATCCATTGCCTGAAAAATTAACATGAAACTGTTTAAAAAACATAAAATAAATCATAATGTAAAATGCCATGTATGTTTGTTTATTTTTAGCCCTGTAGAAGACCAAGAAAATCTTACTGAAGCCCTGAGGTGTTGGGGTCTAACATCATTGTTAGACTGCTGGACATGTTGAAGGAGATGAACGGAAGGAGCTGGAGAGCCTTTTTTTGTTGTTTTGATGAACATAACACTGCAAAACTTCTGTTGGCTTTAATTGGTACCACATAACAGTGATCACCGTGTGCCACTGTCAAAACTTGCCAAGAGCTTTAAGCACATCTTTTAATAGCAGTGGATACAGTATTCCTCTAGCAGACAACACGAAAGCAAACATGAAAACTCTTTTGCCTTTGGGTAGCCTGGTTATGTCAGAGAAGAGATGGCCTCTTGATTAAATCCAGACTGAGTAGTTTCCTGTTAGCATGCTAACTCAGCCCACAATGTCTTATTCTGAAAGTCTGTTATTGAGCTTGTCTGCCAAGTCTTTTTTCCTTTTAAACTTACAGGCAGAATTGCTAAAATAATACAAATACAAACAATGCCTAAAAGTCTCTTAAAATGATTTCTAGCAGTTTAATGTTTTGCTGACAAACTCAGTTTTAGATTTTCAGGGTTTACGGTTGTTTTTTTGTTTTGCTTTGTTTGGGTTTTTTTTGTTTTTTGTTTTTTGTTTTTTTTTTTAAACATTCTCCCAACATGATGTCCTGGGGAAGTTGCAGTGTTGCAATTAACGGAAAATTTTGTGCATGTATCAATCTTGGAAGCAGATTCTGCCCTTGTTTGGTACACAGTCACATCAGTGAATGAGAGGTTTTTACACACTGAGCAGAATATGGCCTGAAGTCAATACATTGTGGAGTGGGGGAAAGTGCTGGACAGAAAATTAAGAGCTAAATACAGTCATGCAGAATTTCTTCCCTGTTTGAAAGTGGTTGTATTGTGTAACTAGTTGTTTTCAAAAGTGTATTTTAATTGTAAGATGAAAAGTCAGCAAGAAAATTTAATTTTTTTTTTTTTTCTGAGCAAGTTTTGCTTCGTGAGAATTTGAATGGAGGACATATATAGCGGTGGTAACAACATATCCTTTTAGTGTTTCTGTAACGGTGGTGTCATATATAATTCTATATGCACCTTGAAGTCAGGTTTATGACAAATTATACACCTCTAAAACAGCCATAAGATCCATGGAACAAGATTTTGCAGGTTACTCTGGTGTAATCTCATTCATTCCCTGTGGGATTGCATTGGGGTAACAGGGGGGTTTGGTGCAGTAGTACTGGACATTGCCTTGTCTATTTACAAAAGGCATTAATGGGTTCATGACACGAGACCAAGTTACCCAGTCTGTAATTTCACAGTCTGTTTGAACAGATGTAAAGCTGGGGTGCTTCCAGAAATTGTCTTACATCTTGCACTCAAGCTTGTTTTCCCTGTGTCAGCCTGTGTATTTCTGCAGCCATGGGGTGAACAAAGTTGAGCGACTTGTCTGAGTTAAACCTGACCCCACCAAATAAAATGAAGGGCTCTGTTTTGGCTGGACCACTTTCCCAGCCCAGTTCGCTGTAGGAGGCGGGCAGAAAAGGGCCTCTGGAAATGGCTTCTTTCAGTAGCTTAAACTCGGTATGAAATGGTGCCATTTTGCAGTTGAGATGTGGCTGCTAGTTTCCTAGGACCTCTGCTTGCCTACTGTGTCTATACTCTTTGCAGTCTGTTGACAGATCCTGCAAGATGCTCCTGGCTCTTCCAGGGCTTCCTACAGGCACAGAGGCACTTTTCTGCCACAGAAACTGTGCCTGGGCCCAATTCTTGTTAGAAAGTCCAGAACATTGTGGGGAACTGCTATTATTCCTATTTTATCTTTCCCTGTCTAGTCTGTTTTTTTTTAATACAGGCAGCAGGTTGCATTTTAACGTAACAACAAGAGTTTGTTGGACCTTGTTTAGCTGGGAAATGAGATCTCTGCAAGAGTAGCAGAGCTTTAGAATAATATTAGACATTTGTACTGTATCAGAAATAGCGTGGCCAGCAGGACCAGGGAGGTGATAGTGCCCCTGTACTTGGCACTGATGAAGCCGCACCTCGAGTGCTGTGTTCAGTTTTGGGCCTCTCACTACAAGAAAGACATTGAGGTGCTGGAGCGTGTCCAGAGAAGGGCAATGAAGCTGGTGAAGGGTCTAGAGCACAAGTCCTATGAGGAGCAGCTGGGGGAACTGGGTTGTTTGGCCTGGAGAAGAGGAGGCTCAAGGGAGACCTTATTGCTCTCTACAACTACCTGAAAGGAGGCTGTAGCGAGGTGGGGGTCGGTCTCTTCTCCCTCGTAACAAGTGATAGGACGAGAGGAAAGGGCCTCAAGCTGTGCCAGGGGAAGTTTAGGTTAGACATTAGGAAAAACTTCTTCACCGAAAGGGTGGTCAAGCATTGGAACAGGCTGCCCAGGGAAGCGGTTGAGTCCCCATCCCTGGAGGTACTTAAAAGATGTGTGGATGTGGTGCTTAGGGACATGGTTTAGTGGTGGACTTGGCAGCGCTAGGTTAATGGTTGTACTCGGTGATCTTAAAGATCTTTTCCAACCTAAATGATTCTATGATTGTTTAATCCAAAAAGGGATATCTATTATAAATAATTCAAAAGCAATGGAAGGTAGTGATATAAATATGAAGTGGCTGGGTTATCCATTCCTAATTATGTTATGAATATATTAATTTTTTTCTTTGTGTTTTGTTAGTATACCAAGCCAGAGTCAGTAGTGACTGTGAGCTGTTAACATGCTGTCTTCATGTCCTCAGTCTAGTACAAAGGTGTTGTGTTAACATTGGAGTATTGTTAGCCTTGTTGTTTCTAACTCATACCTTAGTAGGCAGTTTCTAGAGCAAAACTTCCGGTCAAAATGGCTGTGTGTCTAAATCTCATATTCGGTCCTCGTGGTGTTTCATCAGAATGAATTTGAGATGTATTGTCAAGGAACCATGGAGAAACCCAAAATATGGATTGTATTGTTCCTTAGGGGAGTCTCTTAATCTGTATAAATACTGACACAATATTGAAAACCCAGAAGAGCTGTTAAATTATAAAATATTACTTTAAGGCTGGGAAATTTGACCTAATGATACACTGTTACTATCTGGTATCATGATACAGCAGAAGCTGTTACCTAGGAGGGGAAGGTTGTGATTTGGAAGAGAACCATCACAGCAGTCCCAGGTGAAAGCTTGCTGTGGGTGCATATGTAAGGAGGAAATCTGCAGCGGAATAATGCTGTAATGGGTTGAACTCCTTAGTTTTTATCCTGAGATTGCAGGAGAATTGATGATGCAAAGACTAAGCTAGACTGTTGTGTGTTCATGCCAAGTACAATTTTATTTCCTGTAGTATTTTTCTACTGATATATTTAATCTAGCCTAAAAAGATTTAAGATTTTCCCCCCCACACACAGAGTCTTGAAATATTTCACGATGGCCTGATTTTTCCTTTGCGTAATGCCATTAAGCCTAGCTAGGTACAAGCCTTGCCTTAAAATACTTTCTAAACTCAGTATATGTGAATAAAAGTAACTCTATACTTCAAAAAGATATTTCATTCATTCAGATGACCTTCTAATAGTTTATTTACATAAATCATAGTGATGTCTGGGGATTTTTGACAGGGTTTTTCTTTTCACTCATGGTTGCAGACGCTTGAACAGGCTCAAGCCCTTTCTTTCTCTCAAGGAAAATGACCTTTTTGTTACTGGAGTTTTATTAGTGCTGGTGATGTGCGATTATAGTGATTTAATGTTTATGATGCATGTCATCTAATTGTGACCAAGGTAAAAAAGCAGGTGTGTCACAGCACGTTGTCCTCAAGCTGAGGATGCAGTATGTCAGTCGGTTCAGTTCCTGTTAAACAGCAGCAACGGAAGGGGAACTGTACGCTTCCCTATGCTGCCTCTGTAGAGTTCGGCCTTTCTTACACTAGTGGTCTGAGCATTCCTTCCCAGAGATAGTCAACTCAAAAGGTAGAGAGAAATTTTCTGTTAGATTGCCCTTGTTGATGTTTTTTATTTATAATCCTATTTTTAAAGCTTTTTATCACACATACTTAACAAATAAGTATTTAAACTAGTCACAAAACTAATTTTCCGAACTGTCCTCTAAATAGTGGCAGAATTTAAGAGAATTATTCTAGTTATTTCAGGCTTAAAGCAGGCTGTAAGCATTAAAACCAAATGCCGTTTAAAAAACACACACCCCCCCAACACCAAACCCTAAACTTGTTGACAAATACTGTGCCAAACAGGAACTGTAAGAGAAAAATGAAATGTTATAATGGCATGTTTGCAAGATGACTTTGACACCATCCTTGCAAAAGTATCATGAAATGTTTTGCATCCAAATCTGTTCATGACCTTAGATTCTGTGTGGCAACCCAAAGGTGGTATTTTCAGCAAGGGAATCACAAGTGCTGATGCTAAAGTTGTGGTCAGTTTTCATATTTATTCAGAAGTTAAGTGAGACACTGAATTACCACTATTGTTCCCTCCAGTAATACTATTCTTTGTGGGATAATGGATTTTCTTTTAGATAATAATATGTGATGGGATTATAAGATAACTTATAGCAGTCGCACTATAAAATATTTTGTGGAGCATGTCAGAGAAATATCTTAAAGATAAACTTACTAAAACCCTCCATTATTTGATACAGCATTTGGTGTTTGGAGAGCCAAAATTGACAAAATCGGTTAGTAACTGAAGATGGACTATTCCTGTGAAAAGATGGAATTTCACTTGTGTTTCATTGTGAAAGCTGTGTCAGGGATCTATCTGGCTTCTGTCTGATTTTTGTGCTTTGTTTTTGTTTCAACATTGTAGGTTGAAGGGGACCAGTTACCTCCAGAACATACTGTGAGCCAGTATGAAACATGCAAGATCAGGACAATAAAAGCTGGAACTTTGGACAAACTTGTGGAGAATCTTCTGACAGCTTTTGGGGATAATGATTTTACCTACATCAGTATCTTTCTCTCAACGTACAGGGCCTTTGCTTCTACTAAGGACGTACTGGAACTTCTCCTTGACAGGTGAGAGCCTATATATAATGGAAACTGAGCCATCATTTACATGATAGGGAGATGTTGTCAGGAATTTCTTCCATTACTTTTAGTGGACATGGACTTAATAACCTGATGGACAGATATCAAGAATACTGCAAAATTCAGAATTTCAGCATAAACATAAAATGTGTAAATGCATGCTGCCCACATCCCTAAGCGTGCCATGTCTGACTGCTAAGGAACCAAACTGGGACCAACACAAGAAAACTAATATAGTTTCCCCCCCAAAAAAGAAGAGAATGCATGGGCTGCAAAGTCATAGCTAGAATAGATTCTTATGTTTTGCCGGATACTGATATTTTCAGACCTCACTCTCCTGTTTGGGGGCTGCTGATTTGAAATGGGGATTGTACAAACATAAGAAAGAATTCACTATCCCTGTCTGTTACTTCACGTGAACGTGCAGTCATAAATTTTTGCAGACAGCACAAGAACCGCTTAATGTTATAAGAATAGCTTTTATGGGAAGACTGTTAAATCATGTCTGCTATATCTGTATAAATGCTTAGAACATGCAACATTAGTTTTCTCACCCTAAATTCTAACTGAGACATGACTGGGTCAGAGGTGATCTTATTTTGGGAGTACGTATTTATTGTATTTTCAAAATCAAGTGATGTACAGGAACAGTTATTCTGGCGTACAGTAATTAGAACAGAGGAGTAGCATAAGAACTACTAGGTTTTAATTTTGGCTCTCCCACTAGGTAGATAAGGAACAAGGCATGGATAAGTTATCTGTGCTTTTCTTTTGTATCTGAAGAGGAGTATAATACTACTTGCTTTGTAGGAATGTTATGTCGCTCAATTAATAATGATGTTGAAATGCCTAGCTGCCAGGCCTGCTGTGATTGTAATAACAGCTGTAGTTGCTCAAGTCCAGTAACTTCACAGCCAGGTAAGAAGTCAGATGAGGAAAGAGCTGCCATCCTGGGGAGCAGAACGTACATTTAGATTTACTACTGTGAGCTTTACCTCTCAGTCCATACCAATTCTGACGCAGGACATGAAGAGCAATAAAAATTGACAGTGCATATATAAAAGAATATAAAAATGTTGAGGAGTTCCTTCTTTTGAATGGGTAATTCTTTCTACACCCTCAGTTTTGGATTCTATGTTTTGGACATACGTATCTTTGAAGAATAAAATATGAAAGGACACCAAGTTTGTGTGGATTCTAGTAACTTTAAAGAGGAGCTAACTTGCCAGGTGACAGTGTGTCATGAGAATCTCTTGCTTCCTAAACACATGAAATTGCCAGAGCCACAAATTTATAGGAGAAACCAATAGTTGTATGCATATACATTGTCACTTTCAGCCAGTAATGTTTCGTGTATGATTTATTTTACTTACTTTTATAAAAATATATTAACAGAAAAAGTTAGAACAAGTAAAATAGTAGCCTTTGCAAGGATGCTTTGCCCAAAATGGCTATTTTAAATATCATTCCCCGAACAGTGTAGTTTTTGTTGCTCTGTGTTGGTGGGTTGCCAGACTGCTCTTTCAGGGCTCTTATATATTAATTGATGTGTATCTGGGGAAATTTTCTTTCTGTAATCAATGAGAACTTGCGAGTAGCTCAAATAATGTGAATCAGTCAGTCAAAGGTGGCTCTAAACCCAATGATATACACCTTGCTTTTCAATTAAAGGCTCTTAAGGTGTCTTAAGACAACTTATTTTGTCTTAAAGTACATTCATATATCCTGTTTAAATGCCCAGAAAGCATCTCCATGTGCATTCCCCACCCAGTTCAACATAGTTTTGATTTTTAGTAGTTTCCATTCTTATTTCTCTCTTACTGCGGTACTTCAGTAATGCAAATAAATGTCCTGCCTGAGGCTGTGACCTCACTTTACAAATCACTGTACAAACATGCCTAGAAATTTTTGCAACAGGCCCCACCCTGAAGACCCTCTACTGTCAAGAGATGATAAAGAAAAACAGTGAGAGGAATAGACTATGATGCAGATACTTAGGAGGAGCATACTAAGGCAAAGAGAGAGTAAGGGTTTAACTCACAGTGACAGTTTTGGAATTAGACCTGGGTTTTCATGCATCCATGTTTTTACAACAACGTATCTGGTTGTTTTTTGCTGTCCTCAGGAGGCAGAAGACTGTTATGCAAAGAGCAATTCACATATTAGACTTGTTTAATTTGTATAATTATAAAAGATCCCGTATATCTGACAAGCAAGTTTAGAATCTACTATCAAATCTGTTAAGCTGGGTGATCACCAAAGTGATGTTTTTGGAGAAAAGTTCTTGGCACTGGGAAGCTGCCTTGGGTCCTTGGTGGTGGGCTGGCTCTTTGGTTGATGCAAAGTCCCTGGGCAGGACTAGGAAAGCGATCTTGTAGCTGTTGGGATGCTTTGTCCTCCTGTGTGCTTCTGCACAGAGGACTTTCCGTGTATAACCCTTCTATGGGACAGGTGATTATTTCATGTGCAAGTGTCTGGATCTTTTCCTCTTGGCCGCCTCACCTGGCTGGATTCAATGGGTGCTCCAGGCGGTTCTGTCCAAGAAGCCAAGCTGTGGGTGCTGCTGGAGGTCTGGATGAACTGAGGCATGGGAAGGCATGTTCAGCTGTGGTGTCCCTGCTCGTGCTTTTGCCCCTTTGCACTTAATAGGGGATATAGCTCTCCAGAATTGTCAGTTCAGCCCTTCAATGAGTACTGAAATAATTAAATCTCTCTGTAATTGAGGACTGAAGCATTTTAAACTTGGGGTTGGGGCCAAAGGGGTATTTTCTTGAAACATCAGTCCATCCTACAGTCAATTAGCCTTGTTATGGTTTTGGTTGTTTTATGGCGTTTCATTACTAGCCATTGAAGTGTTCAAACTCTGTTAGGCTGCAGTGTTACAAGGATGATGACAAAGTCTTTTGGGAATCTTGCTTTTGCACTGGAATTTCTAGAGTCCTCTAGATATGTTCTATTTTCTTGCCATATTTTCCCCTAGTGAAAAGGATCATAGCAACCTAAAAATAGAAACGTACAAAATTAGTGAAATATGGAAGTTATGAAATCAGATACTCAAAGATCAGAAATTTGAGAGGGGGAAGAACTCAAGATCTTTATGAAGTTCATCATCATGGGCTTTAGTTTCTATTTCTGTATTGTTTTCTTTAATGTAAGTATTAATGTTAGGATTTTAAAAACATCCTGCAGAAAGTAATTACTCTGAGAATCATTGGTCATGAGACACCTAAACTCTTTGGGCTCCTGTGGAAATGCCAGCTCCATGCAGTAAAGGTTTCTGTAAATTGTATAGCTGGTGCAATTTAGCTCAATTAACTCTGCAATTAAATTCTTAATATTTTCATATCTGGGAATTACATCTGTAATATTACAATTGGATTGCAGCACAAAAGAAGTGGCAAGTCTGACTTATGAGTCTGTCTTACTTTTTCTCAGGAGTGTATCAGAGGTGAGAAAACAAGCCTTGATTAGAAAAGAAATTGAGCAGACGGGACTAACTCAGCTTTGAATGACAGGAAAATAGATGTCCTTTTCTAAAGATGATGTGCTTGTTATTCACTGCATTGTTGGCTGCTGATTGAGGGGAAGGATCTTGGGTCAGACTTGTGCACTGCTGTGTCCTTGTGGTCTTCAAGAGATTGAGTTCCTGTCCCGTTGGTTTTTGGTAACGTGCTGGCATGGTAGAAGCCCTGCTTTAAGGATGGACATCCTCTTGTGGTTGGCTTTGAGGGTAGGAAGGGAGGATAAAGGAAGTTTGGATACTGTAGTTTTGCTTCAAACAAATAGCCTAAATGATATTTATAGCAACATCTCAGGTAAGTTTGGGTAGTCTGGTTGTTTAAAGCAGCAGCAAGTCAGGAGCATATGTCACTCTAAGGAAGTTGGCCCTGCCCTCCTCTGATGCTGCTTTGAAGAGGTGAAAATGTCAGAAGAGGGCAAGAAAGCATAGCGGAAAAGTCTCCATAGAACAGAACTTTCTTTTCTGGGCCCAATTCTGATCTTACTGGCTTGTGTACCTCTCAGAGCAAGTTATAACGTCTCCTTCAGAGGAAGGGCACGTAGGCTGCCTGACCTTGTCAACATTATCCCCAGCCTTTTATAATAAATGATAGAATCCACAGGAAATCCTAGGAGGTCACCACTTCCTTCCCCTCTCACAAATAGTGTTTAAGAATCCATGGATGTTTCTCTTGGCTTTTTCAAATATCATGGATAATCTAGAATTTTATGTCTTGGGACAAAATATAGATGAAACTTAAGCTATAAAAGTTAGAATGATTTACATGCAGCTGTGGAATATGGACTTGTGAAGAAAAGCAGATGTTATAAGGAAAAATAAAAAAAGAAATGGATAGTAATTGAATTTAACCAGCTTAGTTTTCATCTCTACATTGGTGCAGAGTAAGTAGCAAAGAGTCTGCATTTTTGCAACTTTCTTATTAGTGATGCTTGTTAATAAGTATCAGTACAGAGACTGAAGTGGGTGTCAGCTCATAATCTGTGTTTTAGAGGTACTTGTCTTTTGTTTTCTAGTGAAGGAAAAAAGTAATGAAAAAGGCAGTCTCTTAAACAAACAAGTAAGATTTTGGCATTAGTTGTCAATTTTAGTTTCATGTGAAGAGCTTAAGCCCTGTTTCTTATTCTTGGTGATAGAGCAGGATTATGGAGTAAGGGAACAATCGTGAATGGCAATGCTGAGCTCTTGTTGTTTGGTCCAAGGCAGAACAGTGATGTGGCCAGATCATAAAAGGCCCTTCTAACTTTTTACAGGTGAGCAGCTCCTTGACATAGAGTATGACAGAACAGCATCTGCCTCTCCCAGTTGTGGGACATATTTTTTGTAGGAACGTACACATTGACAAACTTCCTCCAAAGTTTAAGTGTGGAAGCTCTATCACCCTCAAGTCCAGTGCATTCAGTTTATGTTGGATTTGCTGTGGATAAACCCCTCACGTGAGTGCTGCAGAATTGTCTGGTGTATGCATTAG